TGCGATCGGATCCTTGCGGTTGAGGTCCAGGGGTGCACACTGCGATCCGGAGCTTGCCAGACAAGATCGGCGAAGCAGATTGGCGAAGAAGATTTGCGATGAAGATTGGCGATGAAGATTGGCGAGGAAGGAAGCAAGGAGGAAGGAAGGAAGGAAGGAAGGAAGGAAGGAAGGAAGGAAGGAGGAAGGAAGGAAGGAAGGAAGGAAGGAAGGAGGAAGGAGGAAGAACAACTGTGATAAAATCTAACAACCCTCACCTGGCAGGTGGGGAAAAAACTTACATAGGCTTCCCCAACATCTGCTCAGAAAGAATTCTCCAAAAGGATCTCACAAAATGGGCAAAGTTTGGCCCCCCCACGCCAGTGTCACACCAAATTTGGATGAATTTGGAGCCCTCTCTCTCTCTCTCTCATGAGGATTCTTTCAACATCTTGTATTTTGCCAGATCGAACTCAGAATTGTCCACCTCAACCGGGTAACCGGGTCCTCCAGTATGGGGCCCCGGTCTTTTCGCACAGGGAGAGGAGGCGGAGGCATTCGTTCACGATCCTCTTCCTCTTTGCCTGAGTCGCCCGGTGCAAACGTTGAAGCTAAGTACTCTGACCCATGGACTTGATCAACGAGGTGTTTACGCATCTACCTGCACCTGACCGCTTCTCGCGATCTATGTATAGGTCCAACATGGCCAGCGACCAAGCGAAACCTGCCATATTGACTCCCCGGCCGCGATGGTTTGGGCATGTCCGCAGCATTGCTCTTGACGGGGCCCAATGATCCCAATGGCTTAACACACATCGCCTGCGGATGGCTGAACCGCTTTTGGTTGGCTCCACCTCACGGGGTGTGTTCTGGGGCATCGATCCTTTGTCCTTGGGGCTCGGACTCCTTGGCGTGCGTCCAAGGGACTCTGTGGCAAATCTCTAGGTGGTCGCACCTGCTCAGAGATGGGCGGAGCATTTCTCCAATCCGCCAGCTCATATTCGTTGGGCCTGGCCACCACCCGCAAAACCACTCCACGACCGCGGGAGGCATCGTTTTTTGGGCCGGGAGATGGGGAGGTGAGAAACTAGGATGATGATGTTGCTTTCTGGATTTGCCAACCTAGTAGTATATATATATATATATATACAAAATATCATTTCTTGTTTACTAGCTGTTCCTGGCATCAATATGCATCAATGCTTTCTCGATTTTCTTGCCGGTGTTTCTTTTCGTGTAAGAAACCTTGCCCGATCGGCCGGAGCCGGTCACATGTGATCACATAAATAAATACATGTCTGTTTCACAAATGATCTCATTATATCTAACTATGTATCATGCGATCATACGATTTTGACATCTAAGTTCCAATCTCCAGGTTGGAGAGGCAGTCATGTGATCGAAACCGCCCCATGTTAGTCTCCAGGCAGTAATATAATATTGTCACATCCATTGTCCTTCTCGATGTAAAGGGATCCACAAAGGGCCACCATCTCTCGGACCAACCCGATAGGAGAGAGTCTGACACGGCCCGATGGGAGGTAGGTGTTGTCGGATTCACCGCGAATCCGTATACCCAGCAATGGATGATGTGTCATCAGGTTATGTATATAGTATAATTTGGCATTCTCCGGACTCTCCAATAAGAGAGCGGGGGTTGTGGCTGTGGCTTCTTGTTCAACTCTGCAGAACGCAGAACGTCCCGAAGGGAGATCGATGGTCACGAATGAACACTCGTGACTTGGATTTGCTTAGGGAACCTTGAGAAGTAAAACACCAAAAGGGGGTTTAACCACCCTGGGCATATTATTTTTTGCATAAAATCATGTACCCCAGCCTCGCCAGGCTTACAAGCCCTACAAAATCAAACCCCCCACCCCTCAGCAAGGGGACCGTGACCAAGGGCATATTACATAATCAATGGCCACAACATCAACATAATGTCTGTACAAAATCACTTGCAGAATATGGAAATGCTTGAGCGCTTTAGAAAATCAACACCCCTGGCCTCTGAGCAAGGTACCAAATTGAACGGAGAATTTAGGCTCTTAAACTCAGTGACGTAGGGTCACAGTCCCAAAGGTTGTAGTTGAAGCTTAGGCACACTTTTAGCTCAAACTTGAACAAACGGATTGAACAAACGGCTGCAGTGAAACATACATCTATACAAGCTATGTCATGTACATGCCACTGGTGCTACATCTGATCACGCCTCCCGAGTTTAACATCTCCCAGAAGTTAAGCGAGTCAGGATTAGCACTGTCAGTGAATTAGCTCGTAGCCCTTCAGTACATCTTGGTCTTGAAGAAGTA